TGTGGGGGAGAGTGAGGAGTTGATGTCACATCCCCATCCACAGCTTTTTGGAGTGACCAGTATAATCACAAACTATCACAAACACCATCACACGTCACACAATACACTCACCATTGTCACCATGAACACCATCACTACAACTACGACCATCATCATCATCATCATTACCACTACCATAATTACCATCACCACCACAATCACTGTCACCACCACCATAATTATCATCACCACCACCATCACCATCAACACCATAACAGCCACCATCACTATCACCACTAGCATCACCATCAACACCATCACCATCACTACAACCATCACTATCACCAGTCCTGTGATCCTGCGTTTACGGCTGAAGGAAGGGTCAGTTCCAAGTGGGAGGGTCTTGTGCTGGACTGCGTCAAACAAGATGACTCCTAGGAGAAATGACAAGGTCATCCAAATGAGTTTCCTCCAAAGCAACCAGCTTTGCTTATTTACTTTAGGGGAGGTGCGGAAGGCAGAACAGGAGAGACTGGAAATGGGATACTATGCCCTTTGTGCTGACCCTAAGTTTTACACTGAAGTCCATGGTCCTGCTCCCAGGAAGGGAGTTCAGACCATGGGTTCTCAGCCAGTTGCTGTGGATAGAAAAATGAACTGCATCTCTGCACCATCTGCTTCGCCTTCCATTAAGATGATTGTGTTCTCATGTTAATGTACCTGCTCCATTTCATGCTCCTCCCCTCCTCTCTTGGTTCCCTTGCACAATAAAAAAGCAGCAACAAAAAATCAAGCTCTCCTCTACTTTGTCTGTGTCCTGTCACATTTTTTGTCACATGTCTTGCATGCCTCTGCTTTGCTGCCACATGCCAATGCGAGGTGGTGCATGGACTGGAGTGTCTGGGTCCCAGGAACAAGCCCCAGGCCTCTGTGTAGGGGCCAAGGCGGGGATCCATAGTTCCCTGGTGGGAGGGTGTGGGAAAAGTATCCTGCTTAGAGGACCCTGGTCCACCTGAACTAATGGCCGTTTGCTCAGAAGAAAAGACCATACCAGGCCAGGTAAGTGAATGAAGATAGTGATCACCTTTCTTGTGATTCATCTGGAAATAAAGAAGGTGCTAGAGGAGCGGTAGATTAGGGACATGGGGAGAGATAGGAGAGACTCAGAATGAGGGGAAGGCACATGGTCATAAGATGTAGGATCCTGGCAAATTTGCACTAGCTCTATGAACTTCAGTTTTTGTCTCTGTAAAGAGGGATTGTAACAGGAGTTTATCATACATTGTAAAGGTATGGGATTCAAGTTAACGAACCCAGGGGTACCACGTTGACACCTTTCTACCTCCTTTGACAAAGCCTGTTTCCTAGTTTGGGTATTTTTGCCCCGCTCTCTAGATCTCACGTCCAGCCTGAACCCTACAGGCAATGAGATGGCAACAGAGAAACAGCAGGGGCTTGTGGGTCATACAGACTCGGGCTCCGCTTCTCATGCAGTCAGTGGCTCCAGTTTTCCATTACTGTGTCACCAATGGCCACAAGCAGTAAGTATTTATTAACGTACAGGTGTCCGGGTGAGACTTCGCTGGTGTCTTAGTCATGAGACTTCCCCTGAGCCTCAATTTGCCGATTCCTACAATGGAGTGGTTGTAGATTCAGAGTATCTGGCATGTCTAGTGGGTGCTTCATACATTATTCAGTTGTACTATTTCACCTCAGTTGTCTTTCATACCCTGCGGCTGCCCCCCAGCCCTGCCGCATCCATTGCCATGATTGTTGGAGACTGGTTCCCAGGTAGAACCGCACTCTCCTGTAGAAATGAAGGGCCGTTAGAAGCTTAGTTCAGAGCACCTTGGGCTTCCTAGCAGGGAAATCCATCAAGACACTGGAAGATTTAGACTGAGGGGCTGGTTTCTGGTTCAGATATGTCACCTTCTCATTGTGGGAGAAGAGCTGAAGAGGCTCTCTGGGTTCTCTTTCCCAAGGGAATCAGTCCCAGTGCTAGTCACTTCCCAAAGCCCCCAGAGGACTTCAACATATATGAATTCGGGGAACACACAACCTTTTTGTCATATATAGCAACTCAGTTCCCAGGGTCACATGCAAGAGGTCGGCCAGGGTGACCGCACTCTTCCCTGAGGGCTCAAGGAGCGGCTGGCAGGACTCCAGTCCTGGGTGTAGGAACTCAGATCTGCTTCCTTGGTGGCTGTCAGGGCAGGTTGCTCTTGGCCCACATTCCTTGCCATTTTCTAATCCAGCAACAGAGAAGTTCTGCCTCATTGAATCTCTGTCGCGCTGTGAGTCTCCCTGGCTTCTGCCCCTAACTTCTGGACACAGATTTAAAGGGCCAGTGTGATGAGCTCAAGCTTACCAGATACTGTCTTTTTGTAAAAGCCAATCTTGGAAGTGACTGTCTGATAGTTTTCACTGAAACTCAAGGGCAGGGATGAACATCCTTGGACCTTCTTAGACTTCTACACAGTACAGTGACAGTCCCGAGAGCCTGGGAAGGTAATGAACCACTCTGGGTGTCAGCCTTTTGTTCTCTAAAGTCAGATGTAGATCAGGAGAGTATCTTGCATGTCAAATAGATGCTTAATACATTCTTCAGTAATTGCATCTCACCTAGCAGTTGTCTCCTGCACCCCTAATCCTGGCCCAGCTTTCTCCCTTGTTGTGGATTTTGGGACAGTGGATTCCAGTTGCAGCTGCACAGCCCTGCAGAAGGGAAGGGCTGTTAGAGATTATGGGACACCTGGTATGTCAGTCAGAATGTGTGTCCCAAGTGCCCCAACCCGTGGTCCCCTTCAGTGGGGCTGGTTGGGGCTAGGATCTGCGTTTGTAACCAGCACCGTAGAGGATCTGATGTGGCTTCTCTGTAAGCTACCAAGGGACACCTGACAAGCGGGTCTGCACACAGATGTGTGTTAGTGAGTTTGATGTCAAGGCTGCCCTTGTATACCTGCAGTTCCTTGGCTTCTTAGAGAATGAGTTTCTTCATCTGTAAAATGGAGACAGTATGAAGTTGCTTCACCAAGAAATTCTAGGGACTAAATGCACTGACCCATGATCGTGAGTAAAGTGCGCAGTCCAGCACTTAGCATCTGCTGAGCTTTTGCTGCATATCTTCAAAAATAATGATTATCACTAGTGTAATATCCAGTAGCCCTGGGCTTGGCTCTGGCTCCCCACCTGTGGGGGGTCTGGGCAGCAGAGCAGCAGCTGCAGCTGCTCTTTGGGAATGGGATCATGTTTGAACTTCAGGGAGCCCCCCCTGGAGAGTGGAGACCCTCCTCATCCCACCAGCCTTCTTAGCCTCTGTGGGCTTTGACCTTTGTCTTCCTCCAAAGAAAATTCTTGGGTGCATCTGCCTTCCCTGTTCAGTTTGAGCCTGGCCCCTCAGATGTTCTAGAAGCCAGGCTTCACTCTGCAGAAACCAGCAGCCCCCTAGCCAGAGCTGGCATCCTCCCTTAGCCACAGCGCAGGGCTTCGCTGGGGGTGGGGGTGGGTGGAGGCCTCTCAGCAGGACAGTCCAGTGGTTGTTTTAAAGAGGATCTATTGACTGCAGGCATTTTCAGTTCTCTCTCAGTGGTGGCATTGATCCAACTGTCCCTGATACCCCATTTGCCCCAGAACCTCTATCCATGCCAGGCTTTGATGTGGCATGTGACTACATCAGGCTTTTATGAAAGGAACCCAGTGAGTCCAAGCCATTGGGCTGTGTCTGCTGCAAAAGGAAGAGCCTCACTGGAACTCTTGATCTTACTTTCCTTTGTTGGCTTGGACAAAGTTTCCTCAGGCTCTGTGAGCTGAAAATGTGCAACATCTACCAGCCTGCTGGAATACTCAGGGTGCTGGGCCATAACAGCCCAGGGAGGCCTAGATCTTTGCCCTTTGTCCATTGGGCCACGTTGCCCTGTATTGCCTGGCCAGCATGCTCAGGATCCTCCCAAGGTGCCTCAAGAGGTGTTGTCAGGGTGCACATGGGCAGGTTTCAGGACAAGGTAAGGTCTCAGGCTGGAAGAGTCAGCAAAGCACAAGCTGGGACAACTTGTGCCATCTCCATGGTTCGGTCAAAATGTTAAATTCTCCAGACTAGAGGTTGAGGCCAAAGATGGAGATGGGGTGACAGGGGGTATGGTGGGGATGAGCCATTTTTCACTTAGGTACTGGAATGAAGGTGGCTGAGAATTCACCCTTGCTACACTCCAGCACCCCAGGCCGGGAAGGAGGGTAGTTTGTACCCTGGGGTACCACTGTCTTGCCAAGGAGACTGAGGCCTGGACTAGGGGACAGACAGGAAGAGGGATGACCTGGGATGAGACCTATGAATGGCTGTGCCATTGTCACACTTGACTTTGGGAACACTTCTCAACTCCCCAGGGAGCAGTGCTACCAGGCCTGAACTCTTGCCCCTGGAAGGGTATTAGGGATGCCTGCAGTGAGCCCCCAATCTCCTGCCCAGGTTATGGTGCACAGCAGAAAAGAAAAGAAACAACAAGAGACAACATAGAGGTGCAGGCAGGGATCTGGGACGACCAGTTGTTCTTGGGGAACAAAAGGCCACAGGCCACCCAGAACCTTGGTGTTTATTCATCACCAGTCAAGGGCAGTGGGTGAAGGACAGTGGGTGTTTCCAGGAGCAGCAATGGTGACTACGGGGGGAGGCGAGTAAGAAGAACAGAGCATTCTTGGAGGGACAAGGAAAGGCTGAGACAGGGGACAATGAGGAAACTGTAGTTTCCCCAGATGCCTATCATCTCCAGCAGGTCCTACCTTGCCCTGTGAGGACCACAGCAGCCATCAGCCCTAGGGCTTCTAGCTGTGGCTGGAAAAGAGCTAGGAGTTTCCTCGTTCCAATCTGGCTCAAGGGCAGGACACGAGCAAGCGTGGACGTCCCCTTGACTCAGTTTATGATTTGTGGTTCTCCAACAGAAGGGGCTGAGTTAACAGGGCAGCTGGGGGCCCTGGCGACGACTGAGACCACAAATTCTCTGCTGAGCTCTCTTCTTTCTCCTCTACAGCCCGGCCAGCACATGGCTCCCAGCCCCCACCTGGCCGTGTACACCGGGACCTGCGTGCCGCCCTCTCCTTCTGGCCCCTTCTCCCCGTCCTGCCGCTCCCCCCGGAGGCCCTTCCCTTCACCCAGCCGCTTCATCCGGCGGCCCAGCAGCACCATCTGCCCTTCGCCTATTCAGGTGGCCCTGGAGAGCTCCTCGGGCTCAGAGCCCAAAGGGGAGGCCAGCTGGTCCAGTGCCCACCGTGGGCCCCTGGCTACTGAGGGCAGCGAGGCCTCCACCGACTGCCCTGGGGCTCGCGGCCATCCCCGGGCCCCCACCAAGGCCCGTGCGGCCCTGTCCTTCAGCAGGTTCCTGAGACGGGGCTGCCTGGCCTCACCTGTCTTCGCCCGGCTCTCCCCCAAGTGCCCTGCTGTGTCCCACGGCAAGGTGCAGCCCCTGGGGGATGTGGGCCAGCAGCTGCCAAGACTGAAACCCAAGAGAGTGACCAAGTAAGAAGCAGCAGGGGCTTGGGCTCACGGGTGTCTACCATGTGGCTGTGAGTGTGGACGGAAGCTCTGTGGTGTGCCTGAGGGCTGGGGCCGGGGCCTGGGTGGGTCATGAGGAGGACCCTGGAGAACGGAACCAGGAGTGGGCTGCTCACATCTCCGGGTCACTGAAAAGCCTCTGGAAACCCAGTCTTGTCCTCCATCTTCCTGAGAAGGAGGAGAAGGGGCAGGTGGCTTTTCTGCTAGTCTTGATTCCCTGTCCCTGCTCTTCCCCCACCCTGCGCCCCTCCCAGGCATACCAGTCTAACAAACCTGTGGTATGTGTAAGGGGCGGGAAAGATTGGTGGCCGCTGTGCGGACCACAGGCGGTGAGATCCTAAGGCAAGTTCCAGCGGTTCTTGCCCCCTCCCTCATCCTAGGTGGCCTCACTTCCGGTCTCTACGGACACCCGCCCACACCCTGCTGTGTCCAGCGCACACTCCCTTAGAGGAGCTGGGGGGATCCTTCTCGCACAGTGGTTTCTGTGACAGTGACAGTGGCCAGAGTTTGGCTGAGCAGTGGCCCCTCCATACTCTACTCCAGGTGGCCCTACAAGTCTGACCTCTGAGAAGCCCAGGTGTCCTGACACAGCCCACCAGGAGCAGAGGCGGCACTCAGAGGAGGACTGATAATATCTGGACCTGTGACAGGGAGCAAAATTGCCTATCATGTAAAACCAGGGACCAGACAAGCCTCTGCCTGATGAGATTTATGGGAGACAGGGGCAACCCTGAATCAGTCAGCCCTTCTTCTGTGTTTGGGCATGCCTGGGCTTGGAGAAGGGAGGTTGCCATGGATACTCAGGAAGCATGGCCTCTGCTGTGCCATGTGCACGGAGGACAGTGAGCAGCAGAGGCTATTACCTGGCCCTGTCTCTGTCACGTGGGGGAAGAAGAGGGAAGGGTGGCTTTGTTGCTTTATCCAGTGTGAGTATTTCTGTTGCTCTTCTCCACCAGCCTTGATGAGGGAATGGGCTAGCTTGGTGGCCACTGTCGTGCCTGACAGGTGGGCACAGGGCTTTTAAAAGTCTCTCTTCCCAGGGGCCGCCAAGTCCTCAGAAGGCAGTTCAAAGGGGTTGAGAATTATGTCCCGCCATGTCCTACAGGAACATCCTGAATTCATCAAAACCCTACACATTGAAGCCCTTCAAAAATGATAATAAAGCCTGTTCAGAATTATCTTTTACTTAGCAGGAAAGTAGGACTCCTCAACAAGGGGATCCCCCGAGCCAGTGGCTGCACACCCCAACTTTGGGAAATACCCCTGGTGTGCTACTCTTTCCTGGGGCTGTCGGGATTCTTTGGGGATTAGCTGTCTTCTTACCCTTTCATTGCTTTCTTTTTGTGTGTGTCTGAAGCTTTTTCCAGATCAAAATGGACGTGCCTACAGACATCGGGCCCTTCCTGATGGACTCGGACGACACAGGGACGGGAGAGACTGGGGCCCGGGACACAGAGAAGGAGGTCATCTGCCCCTGGGAGAGCCTGGCCTCCGGAAAGGCAGGCTGAGCTGGTGCCCCCGGCCAGGAAGATGCTCCTGGCAGACTCTTCCAGACAGGGCCACGGGGTGTACTTGCGCCCAAACCAAAGTGCGTTAGGATGAAGTTGGAGGCTGCTGAGACCAGACGGGACATGGGGAGGAATGCGCCGGCTGGCTCCCAATGGCCACCCCTTCCCTTCCCCTGACTTTCCACTGCTTGGCCAGAAAGGCATGTGGGCCAGGAGTCCCGTGCTGCCTTAAAATCAATAAAAGGGTGAATTGGAATTTCCTTGGATTGGACTGTTAGCACGTGCCCAGTTTTATTAGTTATTCAGGAGCTAAACTCACATCTTCGTCAGTTTGTGACAAAGGGACATTGAGTCCTCCCCAGAGAGCGCTCTCTCTCTCTCTCTCTCTCTCTCTCTCTCTCTCTCTCTCTCTCTCTCTCTCTCTCTCTCTCTGTCCAAATGGGCTTGGGAACAATGTTCTTGCCACGTGGGAGACCTCTAAGGGAAAGCACACTCCCACAATGCCAGATCCTTCAAGAAGTTGGTGCCACAGCAGGGAGTATTGGGAAAAACAGCTGTAGAGGGCAAAGGGTAGGCACGGAAGGAGGAGGTGGGAGGATCAGACCCTGGTGAAGGTCTGACCTCTGGGGATGGTGGTAGAGACCAGGAAAGTCTCTGGTGGCAGCACAGTTCCAAGAAAGATGTGTGTGGGCCATCACGTGGGCATATTGAGTCAAAGTCACTGGCCCTGCAGTGGCACCACTGCTGAGCACGGTCACTGGCTGGAGCCCGCTGGGGGATGTGCTGGTGAATCATGTGTCCGGAGACTGGCTCATCAGTCTATCTGCATTAGGTGCTCTGGATCCATTTCTACGTCTGTTGTATCCTGGCGGGTGCTTCTGAAGATGTGGGTCTTGGTTGCGCCTTCCCACTCCCCTCCCAAGTACACAGCTAGTGTGGATTTATTGACTCACTCACTTCAGCGAGCTCAGCACTGCACTAGGCCTGGGAATGTGCCTGGGAGTCGGACTCCTTGTCCCATTGATTCATCCAGTGATTCTCAAGCAGGGGATTGATTTTGTCCCTTAGGGGGACACTGGGCAGTGTCTGGAGACATTTTGGGTTGTCACGACTGGGGTGGAGGCGGGGTGTTGCTACTGGCATCTAGCAGGTAGAGGTCAAGGGTACTGCCTAGCATGGTACAGCACACAGAACTCCCCACAACAAAAGATTATTCCATCCACAAATTGGTGGTGCCACTGTTAAGAAGCCCTGGACTAGAGTTTACAAATGACACCTTTGTCTTCAGCTTCTGCCTCAGCCCTGGAGAATTGCCCCTGAGGGTCCTACTGGGAACATAATTGGCATGGACAGAGGGTTGGGATTAAGAGCTACATGGTGAATAAAACATTTCTTAAAAGTTGCATGAAAAGCCCTCAAAGGAGAAAAAAAAAATCCCAGTGCTTTGCAAGTCATTCATTCTGCTCCTCCCATGGAACCCTTGGCTCAATTAGGAGATAAGAGTCCCTGACTTGCTGTTAACCTCTGATAGCTTATCTTATTTAAGCCGTAAATACTGTGGTTGTGGAGCCATCTCTGCACAGTTCTAACAATGCATGTTGGGATATCTGGGCATGGTGGCACGTGCCTGTATTCCAAGACTCTGGAGACTGAGGCAGGAGGATTGTAATTTTGAGCCCAGCCTGGGCAACTCAGTGACTTCCAGAGACCCTGTCTCAAAAATAAAAATTTTAAAAAGCCAAGGAATATAACTCTATGCTCAAGTCCATTCCTGTAAAACACAAACAAAAACAATCAAAATGAACCTCGGTGTGTGGCCCAAATTCTGACTTGCTGATCCCTTTAGGATAACCACAGAATCTTCTATACTTCGGGGGTGTCGCTCCGCCATCCCCACATCCACGTCCACGCCCAGGAGGGAGTGATGGGATGGCGGCTTCTTCTCAGTTCACAACCCAGACATAGCCCGCGTCATTTCCTCTCCCATGTCCTTGTTCGGCACTTGGTCGTGTTTTCTGTCATAGCCTGCAAGGAGTCAGGGATACGCAGGCTTCATTCAAACAGTTTATGAGCAGCCAGACTGCCAGAGTTCAAACACTGGGAAGGAAGCTGAGGAGCATGGGTATTGCTAGATGCTTGGTTTCTCCCACACTGGAACTGTCACATAGTCTTGGAGGGGAATGCAAATATATTGGAAATGGGAAGATGAGAGATAAAGCAAAAAGGGATAGGAAGACTGGCTAGGTTTTGTGGGTTTTTGTTTATTTGTTTGTTTGCTTTTGCCAAATCTGAGTGCCTAAAAAATGCAACCATATTGTTTTCCATGATGGAGCGACTTTCCTCTCAGGCTGCAGATGCGAAGCTGATGTCACGCCCCAAGCGTGGGACTAGGAGCAAAGCCCACTCCTTCACAGAGCTGCTCTTCTTGCTCTGTAGCAAGTTCCCTGGTGGAGCACAGGGTGTGGGAGGTGTAAGTCCTGCCTGGTACCTTTCTAGCTTGGGGCAGCATTTGAATTTCCTCTGCTCATCAAGGGTGGCTCCATGATCTTCCTCAGGGGGCGAGGAAGCATATAGGATGACACACGGTACATGCATGGCCCCGGGAAACCCTTCACTTAGCTTAAGAGAGGGCAAAGCCCGAGGGGGTAGGTCTGTGACTTCCACACCTCTGTCTCTGCTAGGCCTGTCCACCTGCCCAGTACCCTGTTTTGTAAGGGGCAGGTGGTTGGCACCTACTGTTTATGCTCACCTTTCAGGGTCACAGGAGAAAGAACCCCATTTCAATATCTCATTACATTAGTCAGCGTCCCAGGAATGTGCCTATTTTCCTTCTTTTGACAACTGACAAGCAGAGCAGGTCTTTTGTGGGGCTCCAAAGCAGTTGTCCCTTTGCTCTCCGGGGAGGGCACCCTGGGACCCACGCAAGGCTGTGCATTCACGAAGCCCCAGGGGAGGCCACACTGCTCCTTGCTTATATGCTGGCACCAGCAAGGTCATACTCCTGAGGAGTCCCCGGGCACCCGGCAGATGGGCTGGGGGTGGTGAGAACACTTCTGACTCAGAGGCCCAGCCCTCCATGCGGAGCGGCCGGTTCCTCCGCACACTTCACCAGAAGAGGGAGTTGGAGGCTCACAGATCCCTGAAGAGAGACAGCTGCGATTTTCCTGTAAGAGTTCAGAGCCCTGTGCTGGAAAGTCAGGAGGAGGACGGAGGGAGTACTTTTCTTCTTGGATGACCTGGTGAGAATGGCTTGTGGGGGAACAGCCAGAAAACTGGGCCTCTACTGGGCACTCTGTCCTCCTGTCCTCAGTCCCCAGAGCCCAGGAGCTGGCCAAGGTAAGGACACGGGAGAGGCAAGCCTCTTGCTGGGTCTCCTTGGTGCCCGCATGGCCCTTGGTGACTGTGGGTCCTCTGGCTGCTATGTGCACAGCTCTATCTCTGGTGGATTTAGGTGAAGGTTGAGACTCTGTGGAAAACTTCACTAGAAAGGAAATTTCCTCAACCTTGCCCAGTGGCCAGAAGAACCCCATCCTTGGACCAAGGGTCATCTCTGTGTCAAGCTCTGACACCTAGACTGGAAACCAAGGGAGACTCTACTCTGGAGTCCTTAGCTGAGAGGCGAGGCCGGAGGCTGGGGCATCCAGGGCAGCCAGCCCAGTGTAGGGTCATAAGAGGGGGAACTAGCAGCCTTTTCAGTTCCTCAGCTGACGGTAGGGACTCCACATAGGACGGTGATCAAGAGAGGAGCTGGCTTCTTTGCTTCTGGGAGAACTGCCCCTGGGGAGGTGGAGTACAATGGCACAGCACCCAGCGCCATGTGAGCACAGTCTGGTGTGTGTGCTGCGTGCGTGGGACAATATAGGAAATGGGCTGCTACCGGGCGCAGCAGGGACGCAACCCAGACCCCAAGACAACAGTAATTCAGGGCGACACGAATGGAAGTCATCACCGGCAGTGGCTGAGAAGCTGGGCACTTATGAAGAACAGCTGTCTCCCTACACGGTGTTTAGGGAGAGGGGACACAGTGTGTGAGGGGTGCAGCACTGGGGTGTCGAGGGGTCCAGCTCGGGGCTGGTTCTGAGCAGACCACGGCACGTGTCTCCACAGGACCCTTAGAAAAGAAGAAGTCTCACCGTCCATCTGCTAGCTTCTATCCTCTGGCTTTAACCCATAGGTATCACTAAGCATTTTGTCCTGAAAGACTTGATCTCAGGAAGTTAGAGACTCATCTTAGTGTTGATCTCATCTTAGAGACTCACAGCTGAGGAGCCCCTTGTGAATTCCTGTCCACATTTAACCCTCGCTGCAGGGCTGTGGACAACCACATAACCACCGTCAATTTGCAGTTGCGATTTCCCAACTTGTAAGCGGTAGAAGCTTCAGCTGAAGTCTAACAAGCTTTATTCTCCCTCTCTCCCGTTTGTTTGGGGATTTCAAGCTGCAGAAAAACACAGGATACTAGAACAAATATCCATGTACGCATCACTTGAAATTGGCTAATTTTAATCAGTTGATTAATATTTTAGCCTAATTATTTCTGATGCCTAAAAAAGAAGGTAAAACATCATCTCTGTTCATTTCCCTTCACCCAGATTCCTCTCTCATATATATGTCTGCAAAAATTTTAATAAATAGCCTGATAGTAAATATTTTATACCTTCCCAGCCACATTTAGTCTTTCTGTTCTCCACTTTCCCCCTCTTTTTCCACCTTTTCCTCTTCCTTCTCCACCTTTTCCCCTTCCTTCTCCTTTTTAAAACCATAAAAAAATGTAAAAGCTATCACATGTGATGAGGCATTAACGTCCAGATATATAGGTAATTCCTCCAACTCAATAAAAAGCGGACCACTGGATTTAAATTTGAATAGCCATTTCTGCAAGGAAGATATGCAAATGGAAATTGACAAAACAAACAAAACAAAACCCTCTAAAATTCAAATGGAAACACAAAAGATCCAGAATAGCCCAAGCAATCCTAAGCAAAAAGCTAGAGGAATCACAAAGCCCAATTTCAAATTATACTATAAAGCCATAGTAACCATAACAGCATGGTCTGGCATGAAAATACACACATTCCATTTTTTCATGGAATAGAATAGAGGACATAGAGACAAACCCACAGAACAGCAGCCATCCAATTCTTGTCAGCAGAGCCAAGAACATACACTGCAGCAGAAATAGCTTCTTTAACAAATGGTGCTGGGAAAACTGGGTCTCCTCCATATGTAGAAGATTGAAACTAGATTCTT